GGTGGTAGACGACACAGTGATCCTGTGGTAGACGACACAGTGATCCTGGTGGTAGACGACACAGTGATCCTGGTGGTAGACGACACAGTGATCCTGGTGGTAGACGACACAGTGATCCTGGTGGTAGACGACACAGTGATCCTGGTGGTAGACGACACAGTGATCCTGGTGGTAGACGACACAGTGATCCTGGTGGTAAGACGACACAGTTGATCCTGGATGATCAAGTGTTGTAGGTGACGACACAGTGATCCTGGTGGTAGACGGACACAGTGAGTCCTGGTGGTAGACGACACAGTAGTCCTGGTGGTAGAGACACGCAGTAGATCCTGGTGGTAGAACGACACAGTGATTCCTGGTGGTAGACGACACAGTGATCCTGGTGGTAGACGACAAGTAGTCCTGTGGTAGGACGACACAGTGATCTGGTGGTAGACGACAGTGTACTGGTGGTAGAGACACAGTGATCCTGGTGTAAGCACACAGTGATCCTGGTGTAGACGACACAGTGATCCTGGTGGTAGACGACACAGTGATCCTGTGGTAGATGGCACAGTGATCCTGGTGGTAGACGACACAGTAGTCTGGTGGTAGACGACACAGTGATCCTGGTGGTAGAGACACAGTAGTCCTGGTGGTAGACGACACAGTCCTTGTGGTAGACGACACAGTGATCCTTGGTGGTAGACGACACAGTGATCCTGGTGGTAGAAACGACACAGTGATCCTGGTGGTAGACGCAAGTGATCCTGTGTGGACGACACAGTGATCTGGTGGTAGAGGACACAGTGGTCTGGTGTAGACGACACAGTAGTCCTGGTGGTGACGGACCAGGTTCCTGGTGGTAGACGACACAGTGATCCTGTGGGTAGACGGCACAGTGATCCTGGTGGTAGACGACCAGTGATCCTGGTGGAGACGACCATGTCCTGGTGGTAGACGAAAAGGATCTGGTGGTAGGACGACACAGTGACCGGTGAAGACGACACAGTGACCTGGTGGTAGACGACCAGTATCTGGTGGAGAGACACAAATGTTATGGTCAAGGGCAATTGATCTGCGGAGTTAGACACAAGTTGTTTGGAGACAGCATCAGTGATGTGGAGACAAGTAATGGTGTGAGACATGATCCTGTTTGGTACAAGTGAATCTGGTAGGAAGACACAGAGATCCTGAGGTGAGACAAGTCTGTGAGATGAGAGTTGTGGTGTATCTACATGGATCTGGGGAAAACCCTAGTGATTGGTGGTAGACGAAGTTAGTATGAGTGGAGACGTACAGTAATGCAGTAATGTAGCAGTAGTGGAACTTGGTGCAGAAGGAGAGTAGTTGGAGTGTGGAATGGAAAGTATGTTGAGTGTGAGGACAGTGTATTTACGTTGAGAATGGAACATCGTTGAGTGTGAGAACTGTAGCTGTCAGTTATGTTAATATCAGTTTTATTTTTCACTGAGTATCATTTACAACGTAGTTTGAATTTGAAGTCATCTGCATTATCGTATTTCTACTCAATGTTAACTGTAATCCTCGTATATTCTATTTACCTTCTACCCCATTGACTTTGTTCAGTTGACTCACAGTAGTCTGACATGTAAATGGCAGTCAATGTGTAACACGGATGTCACCACTTAAAGTGGATATTGACCAGATATGCACTAGATGAACTATAATTGTCAAATAGTGATAAGCATTCATTTCAGAGCAGCATGACATCGTAAAATAGGTGGTAATGAGCTGTCCTAGTTGTAAGACATGAACCTATATGTGAACAACGTTCAGTTCAGTATGCAATGTAACAGGTTATGACTGCTATATTTTACAACTGATGATATATAAAAGTTGATAAAATTGTTGTAAATATCGAATGATTATTAAGTATTATGCTAAAGAAGAACCGTATGTTAAACGTATGAAATGTACAAGTGATAAATATACAATGTTACCTAAGTAATGTCCTAAAGATAGACTGTTACAAGTATTACTCAACAGGATAGGATGAAAGTAATATTACTATAACATACAAGTGATGAGATACCTTGTTAACTGTAAAGGAATGAACATTGTGAACGTATTGTAACTGTTAAAAAGGTAGAGTGAAGACTGTTAACCCGGTGATGCACTTGTTACACAAGTATGATGGACTTTTAACAGGTATGATGAACTTCACAAGGCTATGAAATTGAACAGGTTGTGACATTGTTACACAGTAGTATGACTCTTGTTACAAGTGTATACACTTTGTTAAAAGTTGTGAAATTGTACATTGTTACAAAGTAGTATGTACAAATAAAGGAGTGATGACCTACACTATAGTTACATCCAAGGTTAGTGGTGACACTTGTTACACAAGGTATAGACATTTTTACACGTATGATGTACAAGTGTAGAGGAATGACACTTTGTTAACAATAGGATGAAATTTGTTACAGGTTTTAGATACAAGTAGAAACTGTTACCTGTTTTACAAGGGTTGGAATGTTACAAGGGAAAGTGATGAACTTTGTTAACAAAGGGGATTGGGTATTTTTACAAAAGTGATGAACTTTTACACAGGTGAAAGTAACAAGTTTATGAATTTAACAGTAAAATATTTAAAAAAGTTTTTCAAAGGATGATGACTTGTTAACAGTAGTTGGCTGACACGGTTGATGAATTTAAGGTATAACCAAAGGTAGTGATGACACTTGAAAAGGTAGTTTATGTTACAACAAGTTGACCTTGTTAACATACAAGTAGTGATGAATGTCTGTTAAAAGGAGGATTGACATTGTTCACGGTAAAGGAGTGAGACCTAAAGGGATGACACTTGTTAAAGGAATTGGACTTTTAACAGTAGTGATGACTTGTACAAGGTAGATGCATTTTACACAAGTTGTGATGCATTGTTAAAAGAGTAGCTTGTTACACAAGGTAGTTGAACTTTAACCAAGGTAGAGGGAAATTGTTAAAACCCAAAGGTGTGTGACACAGCTATGGTAATGAACATGTACACAAAGTGTTTTATCATTGTTCCGTGTGATGACACTTGGTTACACAAAAGAAATTTGAAACTTTTACAATTGGACCTTGTTAACAGGAATTGGGTTTTTTTTTAAAAGGGAGTTGTAAAAAGGGTTTTAAAAGGTTGATGACATTGTTCCCCAAAAATTTTGATGAACCCTTGTTAACAAGGGGGTTTTAAATTTTAAAAAAATTCCGTTACACAAGGGTGTTAAATTTTTCAATTGGAGGCTTATATTGTATTACTCCCAAAGAACGCTAACTCAGAAAACTCTGGAGAATTTAGACCTATACATATCTCTAGTACTATCGTATGCTCCATTGAGGTCTGGAGTCTGGCTGTGTCAGAGACGTTGCGCTTCAGCTGGCGCAAAGAACTTGTATCCCCACTGAAAGATTGGCGCAAAATTCTTTGCTACTTGATTATATTATCAATGATTAGAAAAAAAAACTCTCAAACCCTTGTCAGTGTTGTTTTTGTATGTTAAGAATAGTGCATTATTCGTTCACTCATTCAACAGTACGAAGGGCGTTATTTAACCATTAACTCTGAGAAAATTAAGGAGTTGCAGCCTTCATGTTAGGCAGAAGTGATCAGTTAAATAGTAGGTGAAAGAGGGCGATTTTTTCTCTTGTGTTTCATACATTATGGTATTAAATGAAGCAGAATTGTCCCTGAGCAACGTCTGTGGTAAGACATATGTGCAATAGAATCTTTATTACTGAAACATTTCGCCTTCGTTGTAGTCTTCTTCAGTCTAATACAGAGTATAAATTAAAGGCAGCAGAAATGACCATGTAAAGATGGTGTAATTAGTCCAACAACCTTGTACAAATATTTGAGGATGTCAGTCCCTCAGTCTGAAGAAGAGCTGAGCTCTGTTGTCTGGTACAATATAAAGCTGGATAAGGCAGATTTCTCTGGAATCAAACCCTTTTTTCACTAATAACAAGTACTAAGCGAAGTTGTGGAAGATGTCCTCTGTACCAGGATACAGTTCCATTGCTGCGTCTGACAGGAATGATGAAAAGAGTAAACAATACCGACTAACTGATAAGTAAGCTATAAGTAAGCTATGTGTAAAACAGAGCGGTGTCTTGATACAGAGGTCAGCTTTCATAGCTTCAACCCTAATTATTAGTTACTGGTGTGACAATGATAGTGTATCAGGGAGACATGTGGGTGTGACAGTGATAGTGTATCAGGGAGACATGTGGGTGTGACAATGATAGTGTATCAGGGAGACATGTGGGTGTGACAGTGATAGTGTATCAGGGAGACATGTGGGTGTGACAGTGATAGTGTATCAGGGAGACATGTGGGTGTGGACAATGATAGTGTATCAGGGAGACATGTGGGTGTGACAGTGATAGTGTATCAGGGAGACATGTGGGTGTGACAGTGATAGTGTATCAGGGAGACATGTGGGTGTGACAGTGATAGTGTATCAGGGAGACATGTGGGTGTGACAGTGATAGTGTATCAGGGTGACGTGTAGGTGTGACAATGATAGTATAACAGGGTGACGTGTGGGTGTGACAATGATAGTATAACAGGGTGACGTGTAGGTGTGACAATGATAGTATAACAGGGTGACGTGTGGGTGTGACAATGATAGTATAATAGGTTGACGTGTGGGTGTGACAATGATAGTATAATAGGTTGACGTGTGGGTGTGACAATGATAGTATAATAGGTTGACGTGTGGGTGTGACAATGATAGTATAACAGGGTGACGTGTGGGTGTGACAATGATAGTATAATAGGTTGACGTGTGGGTGTGACAATGATAGTATAACAGGTTGACGTGTGGGTGTGACAATGATAGTATAACAGGTTGACGTGTGGGTGTGACAATGATATTATAACAGGATGACGTGTGGGTGTGACAATGTTAGTGTAACAGGTTGACGTGTGGGTGTGACAATGTTAGTGTAACAGGGTTTTCAGTGAGGGGTGACTAGTTAAGGTGATAAGGTACCAAGACCATGATACTGACCTCTGAGTATTGCGGTGAGTGAGACGAGACCAACATCTTGTAGCCCAGGCATGTCGTAGATGACCAGAGCGTAGTTGTGAAACAGCACGCTGCCCCTGTAGTCATAGTTACCATTGTTAAGTAACACTAGATGGCTGCTAAATAGCACTAGGTTATTGTTAAGTAACACTAGGTGATTGTTAAGTAACACTAGATGATTGTTAAATAGCACAAGATGATTGCTAAGTAACACTTGATGATTGTTAAGTAACACTAGCTTATTGTTAAATAACCTCAACAACCCCTCTTCAGCCCACTGGATAATGGCTTTGGTAATCCTGCACCTCCTTCTAATCTCCAAACTACGAATTCTCTGCATTATAATCACACCACACATTGCCCTCAGTCATGACACCTCCGATGCCTCCAGCCTTCTCCTTGTTGCAACATTCACCACCCATGTTTCACACCCATACAAGAGAGTTGGTATAATTATACTCTCATACATTCCCCTCTATGCTTCCATGGACAAAGTTATATATTTATATATATATATATATATATATATATATATATATATATATATATATATATATATATATATATATATATATATATATATACATATATATATATATATATATAATATATATATATATATATATATATATATATATATATATATATTATATATATATATATATATATATATATATATATATACATATATATATATATATATATATATATATATATATATATATATATATATATATATATATATATATATATATATATATATATATGTATGTATGTATGTACGTATGTATATGTGTTTGTGTGTGTGTATATGCGAGTGTGTGTGTGTGTGTGTATGTGTGTGTGTGTGTGTGTGTGTGTGTGTGTGTGTGTGTGTGTGTGTGTGTGTGTGTGTATGTGTGTGTGTGTGTGTGTGTGTGTGTGTTATGCACAGTTTCAGTAAATTTAAATGTATATAATAGTTAACCTAGGCAACATTTTTTTCAATTGTCCCAAATTTTAGCAGGAAATTTTGTCTCCCAGTTGTAATTACATAAGATCATAAGAAATGAGGAGCACTGCAACAGGCCTACTGGCCCATACTTGGCTGTTCTGAGAATGTTTGGTCTTACTCCGGTGAATAGAAGGAAAATAACTGCGATCTGTTACAATCGAATAACAGGTTAGATGTTGTAAGGGTAACAATTATTAGTATTACAATCAAAAGTAAGCAGTAAACCCATAAGGATCATATAGCACTGCAGGGCTGGATGTGCTAAAGAAGAAATATGCGAAGATGAGAGGCTGTGAGGGGTTAGAAGTTTGCAAGAGTTAGAGTTAGTAAGGTTAATGGGGAACATTACTGTAAAAAACGCCAAGGAGTAAGTTTATGTCAAAGGTGGGACTGTCAGCGAGGAGGCCAGGTAAAGTAAATGTGGGACTGTCAGCGAGGAGGCCAGGTAAAGTAAAGGTGGGACTGCCAGCGAGGAGGCCAGGTAAAGTAAAGGTGGGACTGCCAGCGAGGAGGCCAGGTAAAGTAAAGGTGGGACTGCCAGCGAGGAGGCCAGGTAAAGTAAAAGTGGGACTGTCAGCGAGGAGGCCAGGTAAAGTAAAGGTGGGACTGCCAGCGAGGAGGCCAGGTAAAGTAAAGGTGGGACTGCCAGCGAGGAGGCCAGGTAAAGTAAAGGTGGGACTGCCAGCGAGGAGGCCAGGTAAAGTAAAGGTGAGACTGCCAGCGAGGAGGCCAGGTAAAGTAAAGGTGGGACTGCCAGCGAGGAGGCCAGGTAAAGTAAAGGTGGGACTGCCAGCGAGGAGGCCAGGTAAAGTAAAGGTGGGACTGCCAGCGAGGAGGCCAGGTAAAGTAAAGGTGGGACTGCCAGCGAGGAGGCCAGGTAAAGTAAAGGTGGGACTGCCAGCGAGGAGGCCAGGTAAAGTAAAGGTGGGACTGCCAGCGAGGAGGCCAGGTAAAGTATAGTTCGGACTGCCAGCGAGGAGGCCAGGTAAAGTATAGGTGGGACTGCCAGCGAGGAGGCCAGGTAAAGTATAGGTGGGACTGCCAGCGAGGAGGCCAGAGAAAGTAAAGGTGGGACTGCCAGCGAGGAGGCCAGGTAAAGTAAAGGTGGGACTGCCAGCGAGGAGGCCAGGGAAAGTAAAGGTGGGACTGCCAGCGAGGAGGCCAGGAAAGTAAAGGTGGGACTGCCAGCGAGGAGGCCAGGGAAAGTAAAGGTGGGACTGCCAGCGAGGAGGCCAGGTAAAGTAAAGGTGGGACTGCCAGCGAGGAGGCCAGGGAAAGTAAAGGTGGGACTGCCAGCGAGGAGGCCAGGGAAAGTAAAGGTGGGACTGCCAGCAAGGAGGCCAGGTAAAGTATAGTTCGGACTGCCAGCGAGGAGGCCAGGTAAAGTATAGGTGGGACTGCCAGCGTGGAGGCCAGGTAAAGTATAGGTGGGACTGCCAGCGAGGAGGCCAGGGAAAGTAAAGGTGGGACTGCCAGCGAGGAGGCCAGGTAAAGTAAAGGTGGGACTGCCAGCGAGGAGGCCAGGGAAAGTAAAGGTGGGACTGCCAGCAAGGAGGCCAGGTAAAGTATAGGTGGGACTGCCAGCGAGGAGGCCAGGGAAAGTAAAGGTGGGACTGCCAGCAAGGAGGCCAGGTAAAGTATAGGTGGGACTGCCAGCGAGGAGGCCAGGGAAAGTAAAGGTGGGACTGCCAGCGAGGAGGCCAGGTAAAGTAAAGGTGGGACTGCCAGCGAGGAGGCCAGGGAAAGTAAAGGTGGGACTGCCAGCTAGGAGGCCAGGTTAAGTAAAGGTGGGACTGCCAGCGAGGAGGCCAGGTAAAGTAAAGGTGGGACTGCCAGAGAGGAGGCCAGGTAAAGTATAGGTGGGACTGCCAGCGAGGAGGCCAGGTAAAGTATAGGTGGGACTGCCAGCGAGGAGGCCAGGTAAAGTATAGGTGGGACTGCCAGCGAGGAGGCCAGGTAAAGTATTGGTGGGACTGCCAGCGAGGAGGCCAGGTAAAGTATAGGTGGGACTGCCAGCGAGGAGGCCAGGTAAAGTATAGGTGGGACTGCCAGCGAGGAGGCCAGGTAAAGTAAAGGTGAGACTGCCAGCGAGGAGGCCAGGTAAAGTAAAGGTGGGACTGCCAGCGAGGAGGCCAGGTAAAGTAAAGGTGGGACTGCCAGCGAGGAGGCCAGGTAAAGTATAGGTGGGACTGCCAGCGAGGAGGCCAGGTAAAGTAAAGGTGGGACTGCCAGCGAGGAGGCCAGGTAAAGTAAAGGTGGGACTGCCAGAGAGGAGGCCAGGTAAAGTATAGGTGGGACTGCCAGCGAGGAGGCCAGGTAAAGTATAGGTGGGACTGCCAGCGAGGAGGCCAGGTAAAGTATAGGTGGGACTGCCAGCGAGGAGGCCAGGTAAAGTAAAGGTGGGACTGCCAGCGAGGAGGCCAGGTAAAGTATAGGTAGGACTGCCAGCGAGGAGGCCAGGTAAAGTAAAGGTGGGACTGCCAGCGAGGAGGCCAGGTAAAGTAAAGGTGGGACTGCCAGCGAGGAGGCCAGGGAAAGTAAAGGTGGGACTGCCAGCGAGGAGGCCAGGTAAAGTAAAGGTGGGACTGTCAGCGAGGAGGCCAGGTAAAGTAAAGGTGGGACTGCCTGCGAGGAGCCCAGGTAAAGTAAAGGTGGGACTGCCAGCGAGGAGGCCAGGTAAGGTAAAGGTGGGACTGCCAGCGAGGAGGCCAGGTAAAGTAAAGGTGGGACTGTCAGCGAGGAGGCCAGGTAAAGTAAAGGTGGGACTGCCAGCGAGGAGGCCAGGTAAAGTAACGGTGGGACTGTCAGCGAGGAGGCCAGGTAAAGTAAAGGGGCTGCAGCGGTGATGACGCCGCAGATAAATTCTGCATATCTGCTGTTAGACAGGCACGCAGACGGTGAACTGACATGGGAATTTGATAATTCTCAAACAGCTGCGGTCAATGCTACTCCATGAGATAGTCGTGAGTGAGACTTGTGTTTCCGATACGATGGTGGGAGACTGAAGTCTTTCAAACATTACAACGATGATAAGAAACCAAAACAAGATTTGACAGAATGCAATTTGTTATGGATCAGCTGAGCCTAATGTTGTTGCCAATGTTGCGAAGTTGTCTAGAGATTACTGAAAAATAGTCTGAGAATGGAATACCAACATTTGAAATGAGGTCAGGAACAGGTGACCGAGTAGCAGAGTCCGTCTTCTCGTTGCCCTGAACATCTACCACCTCAAGGAAGGTGAGGTGGCTCTTGATCTAGGGAATTGGATCTGTGCTCCGGTTCCCTGAATTAAGCCTGAATTCCTTCCACATTCACCCCTCTCCCCCCCGCAAAGGCGCTGCATACTACTATGGGTTTAGCGCTCCCCGTTGATAATAATAATAATAATAATAATAATAATAATAATAATAATAATAATAATAATGAACATCTACATGACCAGCAACCCAGAAGAAAACAACTTCATTATTTTTACCAGAAAAACTGTACAACCAAAGTTGTACATACGAAGAACGAGGGAATGAGGAGAATATTTTTTTGAATAGTCTGTAAAGTACTAATGGTGTCTGAAACTACTATGAATAATGAGGTAGTCCTGGATGCAATATGCGTGACAGTCATGTAACCTGCATACAGCTATGAAAATGTTAGCTAAGAGTTATAAATGACTTCGTACAACCCTGTAAGGAAAAACTACTGCAAACCCAACACCGTCAGAATGAGACTGGAATGTTTAAGAAAAAGGGAGTTAGAAGTTATGATAGGTAATTAAGCTTTCGCACACGAAAGTGTGGAAAAACAGACGCGAATCGTAGGAACTTTCCAAGGAAAGGGGAAAAGTTAGTTACTGGATGGATATACAAACTGGGTAAATGGAGAGAAGCCAAGAATGAATACGAAGACAAGAAGGACAGCAGGTTAAGTAACAATTTCACATGATAATGAACAGGTGAGAGAGAAATCTCACCTGTTAACAAGCAGGTAGAGGAAAACACCTATTAAAAAGTAAGTGGCGCAGCACACACACCAGATAAGAATCAAGGCGGCGAAACACCTGACAATAAGTAGTGGATACAAGCACCCCTGATAAAAGAGGTGAGGCAAGATACTCACCTGATTACAGCAAGATTAGGGAAGAGCCATCTTAGAGAGGTGAGGTTGAAGACTCGGTACATGAGAAGATGATGTGTTATCTCTCTCAGACCAGGGAAGGTATACCGTCCCAGAAGGTCGACGGAGGTGTTGTCTCGCTGTCCAACAAAGTTCATATCTTAGTAAACATCTGAAATGAAATTATGTTAGCACAATTTCTAGGATATTTATAGAAAACAACATTTATGCTGGAATTTCAGTTCCAGAGGCTGTTCTCAAGGCCTCCAAGATTGTTTTGGGCCCCCTGGTGGCAGGCTGAGGCCCCTGGGGGCAGGCTGAGGCCTCTGGTGGCAGGCTGAGGCCTCTGGTGGCAGGCTGAGGTCCCTGGTGGCAGGCTGAGGCCTCTGGTGGCAGGCTGAGGTCCCTGGGGGCAGGCTGAGGTCCCTGGTGGCAGGCTGAGGTCCCTGGGGGCAGGCTGAGGCCTCTGGTGGCAGGCTGAGGTCCCTGGGGGCAGGCTGAGGCCCCTGGTGGCAGGCTGAGGCCTCTTGTGGCAGGCTGAGGCCCCTGGTGGCAGGCTGAGGTCCCTGGTGGCAGGCTGAGGCCTCTGGTGGCAGGCTGAGGTCCCTGGGGGCAGGCTGAGGTCCCTGGTGGCAGGCTGAGGTCCCTGGGGGCAGGCTGAGGCCTCTGGTGGCAGGCTGAGGTCCCTGGGGGCAGGCTGAGGCCCCTGGGGGCAGGCTGAGGCCTCTGGGGGCAGGCCGAGGCCCCTGGTGGCAGGCTGAGGCCCCTGGTGGCAGGCTGAGGCCCCTGGTGGCAGGCTGAGGTCCCTGGTGGCAGTCTGAGGCCTCTGGGGGCAGGCTGAGGCCTCTGGTGGCAGGCTGAGGCCTTTGGTGGCAGGCTGAGGCCTCTGGTGGCAGGCTGAGGCCTCTGGTGGCAGGCTGAGGCCCCTGGTGGCAGGCTGAGGCCTCTGGTGGCAGGCTGAGGCCTCTGGTGGCAGGCTGAGGCCTATGGGGGCAGGCTGAGGCTTCTCTCAAAACTAAGAATTTGAAGTCGTATAAAACTACTAATAAACTCACAAACGCTGTATTTCGTGTACAACAGAATAACCAGATATTTTATACACATTCTTTATAGATTTTAAAAATTTTGTTGACGTATAACTATACAAGGGCTTAAATTTTTAAACGTTTAATAAGATCTTTCAATGTAAAATAAATTCTTATATTAATATTTACTTAGACAACTTAGTGATATGAGTTTTTCTGTTTTTTTTTTTGTCTGTAAAAATTTCTAATAACTGTATCGAAATTAGTTTCTCTGGCAATGATTGAGTCAGTGATCAGTCCGGGTTTGATTCCCGGTGGGGTGGAAACATTTCAACGCGTTTCCTTACACTTGTTGTCCTGTTCACTAGCTTTTGACACAGTAGACCACGGCATCCTACTCCACAAACTTGACCATTACGGTATAAGAGGCCATGCGCTTGCTTATTTCAAATCTTACCTTACTAATAGGTATCAGTATGTCACCATTAAAGACACAGCATCAACAACACAGCCACTTGATACTGGAGTTCCGCAGGGAAGTGTCCTTGGTCCCCTGCTCTTCCTCATATACATCAATGACCTTCCAAACGTATCCCAACACCTGAAACCCATTCTCTTTGCTGACGACACGACTTATGTCATCTCTCACCCTAATCTTGCCACCCTCAACACCATTGTTAATGAGGAGCTGATCAAAATATCGACTTGGATGACAGCCAATAAACTTACACTTAACACTGACAAAACCTACTATATTATGTTTGGTAGCAGAGCAGGTGTTGCGCAACTTAACATTAAGATCGACAACACTCTAATTACCAGACATAATGAGGGCAAATTCCTAGGCCTATACCTTGACAACAACCTGAATTTCACCACCCGTATCCAACACATAACCAAAAAAGTATCCAAAACGGTTGGGATCCTCTCCAAGATACGATGCTACGTGCCGCAAAATGCCCTTCTCACACTATACCACTCACTTATTTATCCATACCTCACCTATGCTATTTGTGCTTAAGGATCAATTGCAGCAACACACCTAAAGCCAATAATAACCCAACAAAAAGCTGCCGTAAGAATAATCACCAAATCCCATCCCTGGCAACACCCCCCCACTCTTCATAGATCTAAACTTACTCCCTGTTCAGTACATCCACACTTCCTACTGTGCAATCTACATCTACAGGACCTTAAACTCCAATATCAACCTTGACCTAAAACGCTTTCTTGATAGTTGTGACAGAACCCACAGGCACAACACCAGACACAAACATCTCTACGACATTCCCCGGGTCCGACTAAACCTTTACAAAAATTCAATGTATGTCAAAGGCCCTAAAATCTGGAACACCCTACCTGAGAACTCTAGAACTGCAGACACATTCATCACCTTCAAAACTACCATTAGAATCCTGTGATACTCCAATATTGAATCTATGTACTGTGCCAAAACAAAAGCATTCACATTACTAAACTCACAAACTAGTATTTAGTCACTTAGCCATAATACCAACTTACCTCATAATTTTGTAATACTTTAAAATTAAGAATTAAACTAAGTCTGCCAGAAATGCCTAGCCATGCTAGGTGTTCTAGTGGTACGCTCTGTAATTATTATTTTACTACATGTAAACAACACAATAACCAAATTCTGTAAACTCAGCACTGTAATCCTTATAGAGAATAAACTTTGAATTGAATTGAATTTAACTGAATAGTCGACTGGTGTGGGTGGCATCCTGGGGGACAAGTTTGAGGACAACAATGGAAATAAGACAGACAGTCCTCGATGACGCACTGACTTTCTTGGGTTATACTGGATGGCTAACCCTCCAGGGTTAAAAATCTGAACGAAATCTCATCTTATCTTGTTAAGTCAAGTTTTTGATATATTTTAGCTTGGTAAAAGATTTTTCTGCTGATGCGACTGAAACTGAAATGGTCAATAATATTCTCAAAATAACACAAACATTTGGAAATATATCAAAGTTTGTAGCAGTTCTAAAGGATTCATTTTGAAAAAAAAATCAAAATAAACGTCTGTGGATATGGTGCCCCTTCAAAGATTCACAGCCGGACCCCAGACGAATATACCGGCTGAGTCCCCCACCCCCTTCTCTCGTAGGCCCTGGATGTTTTGGCGCAGATTCACTACTGCACAGCTAGTGTCAGTGTTTTATATATATATATATATATATATATATATATATATATATATATATATATATATATATATATAATATATATATATATATATATAATATATATATATATATATATGCAAGGAATTCGCGAGAGCATGCGAAATATACACAAACACTGATCTCTGGCTGAAGGAGAGTCGAACCTACGAACCTTATGACAAGGTACGCAGTGCTTTACCAATCTACCCACACTGGACCAATACCTTGGCGTGTAGCATGCGCTACACGTTTGATCCAAGGCAGCCAGCTTTCAGGGAGAAGGCTTACAGCTTTTCATCTCATCCCCTGCATGCATCAGCCTTACTAGAGATTTGAACAATGCAAGGAATTCGCGAGAGCATGCGAAATATACACAAATACTGATCTCTGGCTGAAGGAGAGTCGAACCTACGAACCTTAGGACAAGGTACGCAGTGTTTTAAACCAATCTACCCACACTGGACCAATACCTTGGCGTGTAGCATGCGCTACACGTTTGATCCAAGGCAGCCAGCTTTCAGGGAGAAGGCTTACAGCTTTTCATCTCATCCCCTGCATGCATGAGCCTTACTAGAGATTTGAACAATGCAAGGAATTCGCGAGAGCATGCTCTCGCGATGCAAGGCTGATGCATGCAGGGGATGAGATGAAAAACTGTAAGCCTTCTCCCTGAAAGCTGGCTGCCTTGGATCAAACGTGTAGCGCATGCTACATGCCAAGGTATTGGTCCAGTGTGGGTAGATTGGTAAAGCACTGCGTACCTTGTCCTAAGGTTCGTAGGTTCGAGTCTCCTTCAGCCAGAGATCAGTGTATATATATATATATATATATATATATATATATATATATATATATATATATATATATATATATATATATATATATATATATATATATATATATATATATATATATATATATATATATATATATATATATATATACATTAGATCTGGAAATAGAGGAATGTAAAAGTTAGCCACTCTGCCATGAGCTGCTCTGCCTAAAATTCCACTACTGTTACATAGACCATTCTCAGATTTTGTTTTCATGTGACAGGCAGAGACAGGCTCCACTGACTGACTTCAAAATTTCAGAACTTTCGTATTCTACTTAGAAAAAGTTTGACATATTTAATAGTGTACAGAAGTCATTTTGTCACCTTTAAACTTGAAATGTTATAGTATTATGTTTTATTATTACATTATTTCACCTCGATGCTGGCGAGGGGCTCTTGATCCAGGGAATTGGATTTATCATCCACTTGCATGGATCGAATTTTAATGCCTCTCATTCCACTGCCGCTAAAACCTATTGACCAAATTAATGGAAAATTTCACAGGTTTGGGCTGCATAGTTGCAAATGTTGTTGGATTCTGAGCAATTACTAGACAACTAGCTACTCTAGTTACTGCTCTAAATTCTCAGTTCTGATGTGTTTCCCTCAGAGGAAACAATACCTTGATGTTAAGCTGTGTATGATACATCTGGCAATTTTATAAATCAAATTGGCTTCTGTGAAATAATTGGAGAATGTCTCTTCTGATCAGAATTAAGTCACAGTGATGACTGTATTTAATTATCGTAGATTAAATCAACTTAATATTCTATGTATACTAACACTACACAAAACTTACTTTCTACTTTCTTAAAAGTTAGTCAATCTTAGAGAAAAGTTTGGATTGATTTGGTTGGTCAAATTTTGCTTTTCTGTGAGAAACTGCAAAAATTTAAACACTTCATTTCATGCGATATTTTTTTTGACTGTCATAAACTAGCTGTCATAAACTGTCATAAACTGTCATAAACATGCTGATAACTAGTTAATGAAACTTCTGACAGACTTCAAGTTAATACGCTTGCATATTTTAGGAAGTTTTTTTTTTTTTTTGGTCTCTTAGAGAAGTGTGACTTTGATTTGGACCGAGTTCGTCCTAATTTATCATTTTTATTGAAGAAATTTGAATATTGATTTTGATAAGATGGTGTGTAAATCTCTCTTCTGATTACCTCCAATTCCTCAACGCTAATATTTAACAGGATTAGCAACTTATGGTGCACTCTGCACTATTCGAATCTCCAGCACAGTTTCCTGGGGGTTACGGAATACGAAGATGCTTTTATCGGATCACGAGGCGACCGAAATATATCTAATTGAGATTGTATGGGCTCTGAATACAGAGAATTCCTACTACACCTGAAAGGGACTGTGTTACTGACAGATACCTCGTTTTACTCACGGGTAACAGCCATGAGAGTCACACAAGCACTGAAGACGAGTGTTATCAGCACTTCATTCCTTGCTTCCAAAACCATACAGGTTACAACATGCAAGGATGAAACAGCCACAGGAGCATCAGTGTTGTTATGCATATTGCATCCACACCTATCTCACCATTCGTAGTACTTTCAGATTCCTTTAGTACTTTACATCCCTTCCAAAAATTTGATTCTCCTAATCCCCTCATTTTCCGTATACAAGTTTGGTTGCGCCGTATTTCTGGTAAAAACATATATCGTACTCTGCTGAGTCCCTGTACATATGAATGTTTGGGGCAATGACCCAGCAGACTCTCCTGTGCGGTCAGCTGCTCATGGCCACACTTCACATAGTGGTATACCATTCTCTGATTATTTTGCAGTAATTGATACATAAATTGTATTCTGTCAAACCTTGTTTGAGTTTTTGGTCTTATTATCACTGTCATGCTTGGGAGTCTACACTCTGGTCTTGGTATTGGACACACACATCTCACTCATGTGTATCTCATGGAGAAGCGTTCAACACCACTCTGAGTATTGTCAAGTTCCATTATCAGTTCACTGTCTACTAATATACTGTCTTGTCTACCAGCAGACACGCAGAATTTACCTCCAACGTCATCACTGCTCTAATGAATTTACTTTATCTTCCCTCCTCACCGACAGTCCCACCTTTGACACAAACTCCCTTTTTGACGTTTTACAGTGACAGCCTTACTACACAAACTTTGATTATATTTTTCCTTTAGCATTCCCCACTAACTTTACTAACTCTACGTCTTGCATATTCCTAACCCTCTCTAGTTTCTGATCTTAGCATATTTCATCCTTACGACATCCTAACCTGCAGCACTGTATGACCCTTGTGGGTTTAGTGTTTAGTTTCGTTTGTTAAAATAATAATAAATAATATTCCTATTAGATGCTGCATAGGTCAGCGGAAAATCGCCGGACTTGTTAATCCCAGGACCGGGGTTGACTTATCCCGTCCATCTTTGTTTAATCATTGGAAAGAAAGTCTAGCACTAGGATCCAGTGGTTGACGGGAATTACCTGCTCCTGGAGAACGAAGTGAAGGTGACCGTCGATAATGCGGCAGCGACAACAGCTTTTTGAGGGCACTAATGGTATTCCTGAGGTCCATACTGCTGCAAACTGTACAGAAGGAAAACATGTCATTACTGTGTATTAGCAAAAATTCATTATGATCTGGCAATTAAGCCCATTTTTTGTTGTTGTTGAACCTGGAATAATGCAGTGTATAATTGTGTTGAATTTTATTCTTTTAGGTGTTAATATTAATAATCCTGTAGGTGACATTCTGTTACCATGAAGACGGCAGCCGAGTGAGTCACCGATCACCTGTGAATCAAAGACATGAAGTAAATATTACCATGAATGTTGTGCTAACTGCCACGATAAACAAGCTATTATTAACAGAGTATGTGGTGAACTTCTGACTACAGTTAAATAACTCTGTCAATCTAGTACTTACTGGAAGATCATCTATACATATATTAAAAAAAAAAAAAAAAAAAAAAAAAAAAAAAATGGCTATAAATGACCATAATTTTTAAAGGGGTGGACCGGTAAGCCAGCGGAAGGCCTCGGTCAGATGACCAAAAGCTCCAAAGGCGGGTCATCATCTGACTAAGACCCGCGTCAGGAAACATTTGTCCTGTTTCCTGACGAACCTTACCTACCTATCTATACATATTGAAATACACAGTGGGTAATTTATCCAAAGACATGACATAGAAGACCGAACTAAAGGTACATGCAATCATTCCTCACCAAGTGATATAACTGGTACTTCTTGGATGTTATATAATCAGTTATAACTGATGACAGATTATCTCGTCCTGTTAGTGCATTACTCTACAGGAAGACTGACTACGATAAACCGTGAATGTTCAGCAATTTCTGTTGATGCCACATTTGCTAAACAGACATACTGTTTCCCAACAGTTGTGGTATGTTACATGTTACGGTGGCTTGTTACTGTCGCACTGGTGACACTAAGACCCCAAAGTCTTAGTAGGAAATAATTTCAGATTTCTAGTAGACCTAAGCAAACAGGTGAGATGTTATTCACAAATCAGTATTATTCACTGAAATTTCCTACTGTCAGAAATGAACCTGAAATAATGTCACACATCCACTACAAAGTTTGGTTCTCTAGAGTAGGACGAGAAGGTGATTTTCTTTTGGAAAAGCTTAGCCCTTTGCATCCCACTGCAAGAGCTTACAATGAAGATGCAATGAAGCTCATTATTAGGCATACATTTATAGGTCTAATCTGGATGAGGAATCCCCAGTCCTAGATCCAATAAATTTGAGAGAGAGAAGAACTAGGTAGCCAAGATTCTATGTGGAATTTCTGTGCCCTGGGATGTTTGCGTTGCACCCTCAGAGGTCCTGAAATTAACGCACAGAAGTTACAGCAGAGTAACACTTATCTTAAACATGTGAATATGCAACTTCCGTGTTCTGTATTTTGTGAGGGTATAAGACCTAACAGTTATTTAAACAGCATCACAAAAACAATCTGGAAGATGATTCAGTTAAGGAAACTCACGATGATGATGGGAATAATGACACTGTGAAGGATTTGGTTCATTAAAACTTTATTTTTTAGTGTTAGGGTAAGGATTAAATTATTAGGGTGTTAGGAATATTCCTATAGCTCTCGTTTGATCTTCGTTATGTTCTCAAGATACTGCTCCAACATTACTAGTAGTTATTTTGGCTATAGTAAAGATATTATCCGTACTATCATAGGTAGAATAATTGGATAATTATCTCAGACTCCAACTCAAAATATATGTATGCTTTAGGGAACTAATGGAAAGAACGCAGGGAAAGAGATAGACGAATGTATCTCAGTACCTGAAACTACCAGGCCAATGATGACAGTGTTAGGAACTCCAGCAAATACTGACACCTAGACAGTGATGACATTGTTAGAAACATCACTAGATACCGACACTGGGTCAATGAAGACGATATTAGAAATATCCCCTGATGTTGACACTGGAGCAATGGTCACCGAGTGTAGAAATAGGTAACAACAAATGGTCATAAATTAGCCTAGTTGTGCAAACGAATAACAGATGAGCGGGTAGATATTAAAAAAAACACACAAACTCGCGTTCACACACACACACACACACACACACCAAAGCCAGGAACTGTGATTCGACCCCCGCAACCACAACTAGGTGAGTACTCACGAACACACACATACACACACACACACACAAACCCGATAAAGCAGAAACACTGTCATTGTTATTCATTCAATCACTCCTCTTCTTGGAGCGGTGAAGAGGCTATCGGTCTGAGGAATTAGACTTTTAGGTCTTCTTCGTCAGACCGATAGCCAATTCCCTCTTCCCTATCCCATCCTCCCCATCACCCCTTTCCCCTCCTCTCTTCATCCCTCCACTTTCCCTTTCCTGTTTCTGCCTTTGAGGTTGTTCCCTCAGGCTCTGTAGTTCCTAGACCTAAGAAGGTGTTCCGGGATCTATCTCTTTCCATTGAGGTTCTTGGTGGTAGTGTAGTTTGCTGTGGAATCTGGATCATCTAGAGATCCCGATCCCTCTCCGGTCTACCACGGGGGTGTGGGGAGGGAAGGCTTAGGGTGTCTTTCAGATGACGGGTGTATCTCTGAAGGCTGCATATCGGATTCCATGAGGTGGTGACCGATGGAGGTATGCTTTGTGGGGGGTTTCTGACCGCCCTCCCTTTTGTCCACTGAGGTGGCTCGGCAGATGTGAGTTGCTATCCCGGAGTGCTGGTTTACTGGGTTGAAGGGTAGGATATGACACAGGTTCCATGCCGCATCTGCATTACCCACTGCACTGAGGTTGTCCTCTTGGGCATAGAAGGGGAAACTTGTGGCCCTTTGCCCTTGGTAGCAGTCCCTCCACACTTTCTCACCCCTTGTTTTCTTTTTTCCTTTTTTTCTTTGCTCTTTTCTTTTTTTTTTTTTTCTTAAAAAGAAAAGAGAAACTTTACCATGGAATCACAAGTCTATGTACCTACTCCTCTTGGGCCCCTTCCAGTTGCAGCACCCTCTGACGACCCTGCCTTGTTACCAGGCCATTCTTCGGACCTTTCTACTGCCCCTGTATCCTCTGGGGGTGACATTTTGTCCCACACTCCAGATGCAGAGGCTCTGTCTGACTCCTTTGGCACCTCTGACCTCTGCAAGTCTTTGACTATGCTTCCGGCTTCTGGCTTCTCAGATCATGTGCCCGCCTCAACATGGATCACCTCTGGTTCTACATCTAAACAACCACAACCTTCTTCTGATGACATTATTTCGACTGACTCTCATTCTCCTCAGAAAAGACTATACTACATAGTATAGTACAGAATGGACCAAGTTTCTCACTCGACAACCGACATCTTCAGAATATCTTTCTAATCATAGTATCAGCAGGGCGCTCCTACGCCATGTTCGTCGTAATATTCCGTTTCATGCTCTCAAGAGCGGGGCACACATCGTCACAGTACAGAATGTTAGCCAAGCTCACGATCTTTCTCTCCTTACAACCATAGATGCCATTTCTGTGACAAATGAAAAACATTACTCTTTTAATTCTTGCAGTGGTACTGTCATTCTACGACATACCATTTTTCAATGTAATTTCCATACATGCGGTGATGGCATTCTGGAACAGCTTGAGCTCCAAGACTTCCCGATCCTTAAAGTAGACACGTATGTACTGCCTGTCCATGGGCGGAGGCACTTCCCATAAAATATAGCTCACTTAACTTTTGACTGCCGCGAGCTTCTGTCATAGATTTATATTGTGGGACACAGTTTACAAGTCAGGCAGGTAACCCCCTACACCACAACAGTGTAGAAATTGTCGGCGATTTGGCCATCTGGCAAAATATTTCAGGTCCATATCTGAGTGCCCAGTCTGTGGTGCCGATGACCATACCAATATGTCTTGTTGCCTACATCCCTCCTGCCTTGATTGTCATGAAGGTCATCCACCTTATTCTTGTCATTGCCAGATTTACTTGAACGAACGTGAAATCTGTTGTCTCAAAGAGACAGAAGGCTTTACTTTTGCAATGGCAGTCCCTCATCTACGACTTCAAGGGAGACTTTCCCGTATTTCTTATTCTCGAGTTACTAAGAGACCCACAACCTCTGGGGTCCCAATTCCCACAGTCTCCCCTGTAATCTCACCTTCCACAGTCACCTCTGTATCTAACTCCTTTGCAGTCCTGGACTCTGTGGTCCCTACTTCTTCACCTCCTACTGTTCTCCAGTCTTCATCTCACACGCAAGCTTCTATGTCTTCAAGACCTTTCAAGTCACTTGATCTTTACCTTTTACTCGTTCTGTTGTGAGTGTGGACGTCCATCCTCCCCCTCGCACAGTACCTTCCTCTCCTGTCCCTTCCCAAGCTTCTTCTCAAGCTACCTCTAACCTCTCATCCCCCTTCCCCCCACATTGGTAAATTCTGTCATCGCCCCTATCTTTACTCACTCTCCTCCTCCTATCTCCAATATCATCCCATATACAACGTCCTTGTTCTCTGAAACAAGTGAAGCTATCTCTGACTACATTGCCGAGACTAAACCATTGATGGACACTGATCCACTTCCTGTCGCTCCTCTTCACTCTTCTCCATCTGCACAACTCCTTTCTTTGCAGTGTTTCAACCCTTCACTGCTTGTTCGTTTTCCGCTGCCTCCACATGTGGACTTTTCTAACCCTTTTAGTCCGTAAATATTTACAGTAGAATATCCGAGGCTTGAGAGACAACCGGTGAGAGCTTCATGTGTTGCTCTCTCAGTTTTCCCCTGTTTGTGTTTGTTTACAAGAACCCAAATTATGCTCCGCTGTTATCTGTTCCATCTCGAGCTGTGTTTTATTGTATTCATCAGATCCTTTTCCTGATGGAACTTTTAATGAAAGTGTGCCTCTTATATGCACCGATATACCATACCATCAGCTCTTTGCACTGCATTACACTGCAGCCCACATCCACTTGAATAAGCGGTATACAATCTGTTCTTTGTATTTCTCTCTTTCTCGGGCATTATCTATCCCAGATTTTGCCTTTCTGGTTTCTTCCTTACTGCTACCACTTCTGTTGCTTGGAGATTTTAATGCCCACCATTTCCTCTGAGGGGGGGTCTCTCTGTGACTCACGCAGAAGGTTTTCTCACTTCCCTT